TTCGTGCACTGCGTGGAGATGCTTAGCAATCAGGCGAAGTAGAATGGAGGACTTATGGGTTACTCCCCTTGTGCCATGATGTTGATCTGTCGTCTAAACCTAAACATAGACTATAGACTTTACTGTTTCCCTATATTCTGCAGATGGTTGAAATACTGTTGTGCCATTCCAACCCTGAGAACATGCACGAAGCGCTGCTACAGGCCATCGACTCTGGCTATACAAACATAGCGGAAGTGACCCTTAGACATCCCAACTATTTGGAAGTCTTCAAGAGAATGAGGCGGATGGGTGAGACTGATCTCTTTTTTAAGGTGAGCAGGGCAATTTATTGATTTACTTTTTCTGTTTTGTTCCGGCGTTCCCATGGCCGTTAAAACAATATTAGACCCACTGCCTTCTCATCAAGCGTGTCCTAAAAGTCTGTTATTTGGGAGCTTCCTTCGAAGTAGGAATGCGTCTGCCTGAGAAGCAAGGTACCAACTGTCTGCATACAAATAAGCCAGGTCTGTGAAACTGATGTGCATGCACTACTCAAGTTCTGGAGTAAGCCTAAGGTCTAGAGATGGACGAAAACACAGAAGGTTCCCCTGTCTTTACAGCCGATGAAAGCAAAGAAGAAGCAGAAGATTCTATAACTCCATCTGACGAGACACAACTATGAATGTTTGAGTGCAGGAATGAAAATGACAGTAATATGAGACAGCAGTGGAGCAGTAACAACGGGGGCAGGGCTGTTTGTTGTAGACACCGGATGGGGTACAAAAGGCTGCAAAAACAATAGTTTGCTATCACAAACCGACAAACGCAAGGTAAGCTGTCGGGTACAGAATAAAGTAAGTCTAACGTTGTGGTGTTTTTGCTGATGAAATCTGAAATTTGATTGTTGGGCGAAAATCGCCGATATCGCAGCTTAGCTGTAAACTACAACGCCTTGTGCGACACCATCATTTTAAGCAGAAGAAGATGAAGGGGGTATTCTGGTAACCTGAGCCAGAATATAACTCGTAGCTTCCATTTGATGGCTGCTATAGAGATCCTACTCCCAATCTCGTACTAAGTTATTACTAAGACACTTACCACGCGTTGGAGGGATTATACTGATCTCTGTGAGTCCCAAAAGACGCGCGATGTATGGTGGCACATACTCTCATGCATCCCTATCAATACGTAGTCTGTTTATTTACATCTGGTTACAACATACTAGAAGACCTTGACTTTGCTGACGATATTGTTCTTTTGAGTTCAACGCGCCCAGATATCTAAGAGAAAACAACCCATCTCCAAAATGTTTCAGGACAAACTGGACTAAAAATTAACACTACAGGGGAAAAAAATAATCTTACCAATAGTTCAGATGACATCAAACTGAACAATCACATTTAAAAAAAGTCAACATGTTTACATACCTAGGAAGTAAGATGCATCTGTAGGGGATTCAGTACCAGGAATATCTAGAATCGAACTGGCATCCTGCCTTCAACAAACTATTAAACGTCTGGAGGTCAAAGACACAATACCTAAAATCTTCTACTCTTGGTGATTCCAATGCTATATTATGAATGGGATAGTTGGAAAGCAAAGGTAGCTCTAGTTTAAAAAAAATATATATCAGGAATCAACTCATTAGAGAAAAGTCGGTACATAATCAATACTAAATGTTATATAAGGAAAGCTTAGACAGTGGTACACCTACTTTGAGAGAATGCTGTTTGACACCACCATACAAGATATATACCAAAAGAAGAAGAGGTACGTAGACCACTATGCAGACCAAGAACAAGATAGAAGAAGATCAGATAAACTCTACAGAAATGTTATGTGTCTATGCTCGAGGTTTCCAAAAGAGCAAGAAGCAAAACATATTTTCTTTCTCCACACCTTCTTCCTCTTCCTCACATCTTTATTTGCCGGTATCAATTGAGGTATAAGCTTCCGCCTCCTGCTCTTCTAGCCGCCTCGATCACAGACATATCGGGCTGTTGTAGATTTTCTCTGATGTTATTTTTTCCATCTTGTTCTCGGTCTGTCTGGTGCATTTCGTCCATCTCCTGTTTTGGTATATGCCGTGTATGGCATGGCGTCACACTGCCTTGTCTCTAAATGACACCTCTAACAGACGCCTCTCTCATTCGACAACTAAAGCGGTAAAATATAAAGTGAAGAAAATGAAATTTAAAAATTGAGTGGAGGGAAAATACTACCCATATCACCGAAGATAATATTGCCTCTCCAGCCTGAGCGAGGATCGCAGTTCCCCAGCTACGTGACGCCGCTGAATTTGGCGGCCCAGAAGAATCAGTTTGTCATTGTCCAACTTCTGCTACAGCGAGGGGAGACAATCACGAAACCACACAAGTTCGATTGTCTCTGTCAGGTAAGATACATACATAGTACATTAAAAAAAATTAGGTGGTGAATTTCTTCAAAGAAAAAGAAGACGAAGAAGAAGAAGAAGACGAAGAAGAAAAAAAAATCAGCAACAATAATAACAAAGGGAAAACAGAAAAATAGCAATACAAAAGTCCTTACAAGGAAAAGGATTAACGTGTGGAGAAATAAAAATATCAAGAAATTCAGGTACAGGAAGATTGCTTACTTACGTCCTTTTCATGAAGTAATTTTTTCTTATTTGAAGCCCCACTCTGGCTTTTGTCAGGGGCCGCAATATAGACAGGCCATCAATGTGACCAATTGTCTGAACGCGGTTTCTGGGACCTCTCCGCGGTGATCCTCATCCGCATGGTGACACTTTGTGTCATCGGGTGTTTATCGCTTGTGTGATGTCCTAGTGGGGTAGCAAGTCAGTCGGTACAGGAAGACGGGTAGAAGATGCTTAAGAAGAAGAAGAAGAGTAAGAAGAAGAAGTAATTTTATTGGAGTTGGTGAAAATGCAAAGGGTGCAGTACTGGCGGAGAAAGAGAAGTAAAGAGTTATGAAATACAGTAAAATGATGAGTAACCGAGAAAGTAGTAGTAATAGTAGTCGTTGTAGAAGTAGTAGTAGTCGTTGTAAGAGTAGTAGTAGTAGTAGAAGCTGTAACAATAATAGTGGTAATAATATTATTAGTAATATAATAGTAGCTGTAGTAGTAGTGGTAACGGTGATAGTAGTGGTAGTAACAGCAGTAATAGCAATAGTAGTGGTGTAACAGTCGTAGTAGTAGCTGCAGTAACAATTCTAGTAATAGCAGAAGTCTGTTGTTGCAGTAGTAACAGTATTAGTAGTAGTAAATAGTAGTAACAACAGAAGCAGCAGTAGTAGTGCTGCTGCAGTAGTAACAGTATTAGTAGTAGTAAATAGTAGAAACAACAGAAGCAGCAGTAGTAGTGCTGCTGCAGTAGTAACAGTATTAGTAGTAGTAAATAGTAGAAACAACAGAAGCAGCAGTAGTAGCGCTGCTGCAGTAGTGATAGTAATAGCAATAGCAGTGACAGTAATGAAGTAATATTAGTACCAGTAATAGCAGCTGTAATTGATTGATTTACGTTGAAACCCCACAAGGACATCTCGCTAAACGATAAACACCCGGTGACACAGAGTGCCACCATTCGGATATGGATCACCAGGGACAGGTCCCAGAAACCCCGTTCAACCCGAAGCGGCTAAAATAGGCCCCCCTGCAACAGCCGGAATGGAGCTTTAAAATAAAAATTAAACAAACAGTCTCATGTTAGGACGGTTGCAGATAGCAACTGTGATAGTAGAAGTACAACAATAAAAAAGCCGGCGCGGGGGGGGGGGGGGGAAAAGAATAATGATAGAAGTATTTACTGTCAGGCTATGTCACTGTAGATTTAGCTAAACTCCTGTTATATCTCAATGAAATACGTCTCAAGCCTTTGTTTGCAACTTCTTGACCACATGAAGAATACTGCAGCTATAAGTGTCTGTCTCCTGTTTCAGGAATGCATTAATAAAAACAAATTCGACCAGCTGAGGTCTGCCAAATGTCGACTGGACGCTTACAGGGGGCTGGCCAGCGAGGCTTACGTATCTTTGTCCAGCAAAGACCCCTTCTTGACGCGTTTGAAGCTAGCTCATGAGCTACGAGGGTCTTTCCAAGTCCGAAGTGTTTTTTAAGGTAATACTGTTTTTGTTTAAATTTTCTTTACAGCTTTATAGAAGAATGTGTTCCAAATTACTCACAGTAATAGAAAGTACTTACAGGCCCTTTCGACTGCAGAGGCGTACGCTGGGATTTTATTTCTTTGATAGATCAGTTGAACTTTTGACTTCTCCGTGGTCTGTTTCTATCCGAAACATATCATACAAGAGGCTCTTTAAAAAAAGTTTCCCCCCCTCCCCCCGTAAATCCATAGTGAAGACCCCAAAAAATTTTAACTTTCACCCCCCAAAATTTTTCCCCTTTTCTTTTTAAAAATTTTTCGACATTTTAATTTACTCGCATTATTTTTAAATTTTCTTAAACCGCCTAAAGTCTTTTTCACTTATTTTTTGTTTTTTCGTACTTTTCCCCTCGGAAATTTAAAACCCCCCTGGGATTTCCTGCTGCCCAATTACAAACTTGTTAAGCAGTTTTTTGCCCCCGGATTCGCGGGTTTTTTTTTCGGGATCCCTCATTTGAAAAAGTGATGTGCATTTTTTTTAGT